CCCCCCCCCCCCCCCCCCCCCGGACTTCAAGGAGGCCAAGCTACACGTGGGATAATGAACGTGAAATCACATCAAAGGGGACCTATCTTCCCCTCAGGGGGGAAGGGTTGGTGTTTTTCCTCCTCATTTGAAATTGCTAATCATGGAAGTATTTCTGGAATAGTTTTGAATCATTKTAATTTGAAGATGAAATAAAAACTTTGTTTTTGGAATTATATTGTCTTCGGTCATTGTAATTACAGATTTTAGACACAAGAATCTTTTAGAGTCTTCTCAAAATTAATTATAAACTCTTCAAGAGTGTGCAAACTTGTGTTGCAAACCCCTTTGTTTTCTATTGTTGTATTCAAGATATTTAGCCCTAATTAAATAGTATTTGCTTGTTCTATCAGTAACTCATTTAAAATTAAATTCCTTCTAGAGTCATTTCATCAGTTAAGAAAAAAAATATGTAGCATTTTATATCTTAAAAGGAGGTTAATATTTACTAGTAGTCTCCTTGAAAGTTCCCTGCATCATCTTGAAATGTAACTATACCTGCGCATGAAGTGAGAACAACGTTTACTTTGCAATGATAGAGACCTTTTTTAACTCTATCTCTATCATTGTAAGGTCATCACCATTCTCACTTGATGCATGGGTGCAGTTGCCTTTCAAGATGGTACAGCGAACTGTTGAAGGGGACTATAAGTGAAATGTGCTTGTAATTTCAAAGTACTAGCCATATAACACGTAAAGTATCTATTTCTCAACTATGTAGTTGTAAGATAGCTAAGAATTGAGGCATAGAGCTATTTGCTTTTGCTCCCAATGTTCTGCTCCAGTAAAATTCCCTATTTTTGTACAAAATAGCTGCTATTATGCTATTACAATAAATTTTCTGTTTTGTTTCATGAATACCATGGTGTGCTCTTTAGTGTTCTTTAAAAATTATTAGAGGTTTTTACACCATCACGTGATGGCAGCCATGTTAGATGGCAGGAACAACACAATTGTTTTACATAAGAAAGAATTTCATTCCCAAGAGTAAAGGAATTTTATTGTTCTGCAATCCAACTACAGGCAACCTAAGCTGTATTATTGGCATGGGCAAATAATGGTGCAAAACCTCTATATTACTTTTTTAACTTTCTTCACTGAGTTTCACTTGACATCCTTTCCTGTCTCATGTAGAATGTCAGATGAATCACAAGTTTTCAATAGACTTTTTTCTGGCTGACAGCACATGGTGATCAGTGTTTGGCCACCATTATGGGCTGATAATGAGATTCAAAGGATTTTATCAGCTGGTTGATGAAGCTCGAAAGTCCACTGATCATAATATAAAGTGCAATGAGACAAAGTGAAATGTGCTTTATAGAACTCCAGCTTTTTTTTWATTTTAAGCTTTTACATTTTTGTCGTCTATTAAAACTTTCATAATCCTTAGAGAAGATTCTGGGGAATGTAAAGTTATGACCATAGGTCCCTTTATTGGAAAATAACTAGCTGAGGACTAGGCTGGTGCCATGAGGTATTTTTGAGAGGGCCAAGGGTTCTTGAATGTATTATACAAAATTACTTCAAACCTGTGGCAAAATTTAACCATTGTCGTTTGTCCTGGACTGCCCCTTGGATCTGCCCTTGCAAGAATAAGAGACTGGTGGACAAAAAAGTGCTGTAGCATCTATGTGTATGTGCCCTCTTAGATATGTTTCATCTATTTCAAATACTGCATTTTAACCATAGGTTGATATAATTCTATAACAAATATATGAAATATGGTATGAAATACGCAAATTAATCCAAGAAAGTTAGTTAAATAATTCAGACAACCAGAAAAATCAAGTAATTATTTTTTATGGGTCTCTGTCTTCAGTGGTAGAGGGATACCTATGAGGCTACATGCGAAATTAAATTTATTCTCACCGCCTGTCACGAATGACTGAGCATTTAGCACGTTGTCACATATTGAAACCTTTCTGCGTGACAAGCGAAGCATGCCCATCCCGGAAGTGGGCTATTCCAGGTCCTCTAATCTCATCACCCATCATGCACTGGGGTCATATGCAGACGAAGCAGCATGTCGGCCATTTTGAGGGATCTTTGAAAATGTTTGCAGAAAACATCGCATTCTGTACGGTAAGAAAAGCTTATAAATCATCTTAAGCAGAGAAAAATATATCAGCTAATGAATTTATCAGTTTCTAGTAATTTTACATACGATGTATTGCCATCTTGTTCTGTCAAAAGTTCGAAGTTTTTTTTTTTAAAAAAAAAAAATTGCCCTAAGAAATCATTATTCTTAATATGTAAGTAACAAACAACAGCGTTTTATCAAGTATAAAACATGAGCTGTTTTTCTATGTGACTTCAAAACCCTTTACTAATGAAACCATGCAAACATCTTGATTAATCGATACAGAACAGTTCTGAATAACAACCGACCTTTATGAGGTTTAATACAGCAAGCTGCAATTCTCATAAAGATCCTGTATAAAGGCATGTGTCTATATTGAGTACTAATGAGATGAATCTATGCATTATACTATTAAAAACCTCATGAATGTGAACAAAAAGGGCCAGCTGACTGGAGTAATTGCTCATGAATTATTGATGAGGTTTTTAAATGATATAGTTACCTTACTGCTTTCTTTGAGCTTTCTGTATCTATGCTGCTCACTACAAAAGTCTTGAACATGCTTTGCAATTCCTTTTACATTGAAATCAGCTTCAGGCACTGCACATGTTTCAGATGCCTTTTCAGCAAATTTCTGTAAACGTGACCTCATCTCTGGAGTAGGAACTTAGGGTAACTGGGCCCAAACTCTTCCGTGGCCATTACTCCAATGCGTTTTCTCCTACAAAAAGTCAGGAAATGATATTAGTTTAAAAGGGATCAAAGAGAAATAACAACAGGACTGAAGACCTATGATTTTCACCCAAACATCATTCCAAGTATCATACCAACAATACCAATATGTGTGCACCACTTAGTTCTTGATTATTGACAAACAATTCTTACTTTGTGAGATACAGGCTTTTGATTTCAGGAGGCATTGTTGCCATTGTTACCATAGTTGGTTTAAGTTGTGGAGAAGATTTTAGACTAGTAGTTTCTGCTTCTTTCAGGGCGATGTGTG